CAGAAGCAATCTAGACAGCTGAAACCAATTAGTGAGATAGAAGTACCATCCAAATTAATAGAAGAACGAGAGTCAGTTTTTATACATATTGGAATACTGCTTAAGATAAATCACATGAAGATATGCTAACTATAGGAACTGATTTCAGACAAAGATTGCGAAAGCTTCCATCAATATCAGAAGAGGAAGCAGAGTCTAGGATCTTATTGCAAAAGGATTGGAATAAATATAAAACTCAACAGCACTTGGCTATTATTCAGACAATAGATTCTATCTTACATTCACAACAAAGGGCACTTGATGAACTTAGAGCAGAATCAGAAGAATTGTATCAACAGGCAATACAAGTAATTAATTTGCTTAATTTACTTAGAAAATTAAATATGAATAATTTTACTTTTAATCAGTTGTAAATATTTTTTATAAGAATCTGTTGCAATATAATTTCATGTATGATGCATTTCAGATTGATTTTGATTTTATACCATATACGACGAAAGGACCATTAAAAACACCTCCAATAGAAAATTATGATTGTCCTGATGGAGAATATACAAATATTACTCGGAAATTTGATGGAGAGGAATAAATATTTGAAATGATACAGCAAAATGAATTTTATTTTGCAAAAAATATGTACAAATAAAATGTGTTTTTAGCTCAAAATATAGATTGTTACATTCAATAATGTTACATTAAATCTAATAGAATATAGGAAGCGAGAGAAGCAAATAAACAAAGAGAAAACAAAATATTTTTTTTTTGAGAAAGAAAAATTAATTGACTTCTGCTGGTTTACTGCAGCCATTTTGAATTATATTATATTATATTATAATGAATTATATTATAATATCAGGAAAAATATTCTTGAAAAATGTGAAACAAAATAGAAATATTTTTTTTATAAAATCATGTTTATATTCAATAGAACAGATTTGTAAAATATACCAGGAACAGAAAATTTCTTTTGCTTTAATAATCGATAAATAACCACAAATGAATTATATCTAATCAAAAACAGACAAGTCAATTCTAAATATATGATTACTGATTAACAAAGGACTTTTCCGGCAAAAGAAAAATTTTCTATATACTTTATAAATCTGCAAACGTTATTTTATCGAAAAACTTTTCTATTTTAATGTATTTTGCAAGAATTTTCATCACATGTTTCTCGCTTCTGATCTAATTTAAAATGACTATAATGAACCAACAGAAAGTGACAAATTTAAAAAAGATATTATAAAAAGATATTAAGATATTGAGAGCTTTAATAATAAGAACTTATTTTATTTGTCATAAATCCTGAGAAAATGTAATTATGGTAGACCTAGATTTTACTTCAAATATGAAAATTAGGACTTAGTTTATAGAAAAAATCTTTTAATACTATTTGTTCTCTTGCAATTGTATTATCATGCAGCTTTTACAAATTTCATCGCGGTTTTTTGAAAAAAAGCAAATTATAGCGTATAATATTTTATACTATTTTAAAGAATTGTTCTATACTAATTCTATTCACAATTTGCTGTATAATAATTTTCCATTCAAATTGTAAACTGTTTAGATTTTGTAAAAAGATACACAATAGGGATACACGATTTGCTTAATACGTGACTTATGCAACGGAAAATGTTCTTTACGTATTATGTAAACGTATATGTAAACAACATAGTTCGCAAGTATATTCTTCGATGGACATTACATTAATGATACATTAATGAAAGATAATAATACAAAATAAGCGTATTTCCATTCGCTAGTTACGTTATGAATTACGACGTGTCGACGTGATAAAGTTTATCTTCATGTAATTCTAAGCTAGGATGCTGCTCATCTATATCACAGTATATCTAAAGGAACATGCATTCCACGAGCGTTGCGAATATTATCAGCATTTTATAATATCGCAAGCTCTTCTCTCTTTCGTTGACTCTCTTCTCAAATAATGCGATTGTCATTTTGAATATCTCTTAAATCTTTCAGATACAAAAAGACGCTATAAATCTCAACACCAATGACGTCGTAAATCCGAATACATAAAAGACATCCTAAATCTTCTAGACGTAAAGTATCTTCCTGCGTCTTCCTCTTCTTCTTTTTCAGCGGTGTATTTTTAAAATCACGTGTGTAAATTTCTTAGAAAGACGATCAAAAGAGTACTCCTCGATGTCGTTTACCTAATCGAACTTGAGCTCACGCTTGCACATGGGACATTTGTCGCTCGTCTTCAGGCATTGTCGCAGACAGTCCGCGTGGAACAGATGATGGCATGGTGTCACCCTGGCCTTCGTCATACTGCACAGGCACACCGCGCACACGTCGTCGAACCTCTCGATCTCCTCGAGGGTCGCTTTTCTGTAGCGATTCAACACTTCGCGTTCACGTCGCAGCACCGCGCCTGAATTCTGCATCAGTTCTTTCCATCGTAGATATACGTTTAGATATGTGGCAACCATCAGGAACCTCCAGGAGGCTGATGGCAACAGCAGGATGCTGAAGATCAACGACATGGCGATTGTAAAACAGCGTAGTATCACCGGCGCGTACAGATTCTCGATGTTCTCCAATGCTTCCAGCTGCAAGAAGCCCAAGATCGTCGGAAACATTTCGACGAAAACCTTCTCCGTCGCCGAATAATAAATCCACGTGACTACTGTGTAGATCAACGAAGGCCTGCAAAAAATATTAAACTATTAAAAAGACCAGATAAATATAATGAAAGCACCAGTAAAGTACAATAAAAAGATATCAGTCAAGTATAATAAAAAAAATCAGATAGAAGTACATATTTATTATAAATTAGAAGTGTCAGTTTTCTTTAAGAAATAAAAGAATATAAATTTATTACTAAATTAATAAATTAAACAAAATTTAATATATTCATTAAAAGGCCAAAAACAAGCATAAAAGCTTGTAATTTAAGTTTATAATTTAACAAACTATAAATTTTTTAGTCAATTAGCTAAATATTTACGCTATAGAGTTGAATTTTGTTTTTATATAATAGCAAGCTCTAGGTTTTATTTGTTTAATATTAAATAACTTTAATGATATTCAGGATCGCTGAGAAAAAGCATTTCTCGTTTTATTCTTTCTAAAATTTTCAAACACGTTGCATATTGTGAGTAAAAAATTATTTGTTTGCGACAATTAAAAAATTTACAGCATATTTTTTTATATAATTTATTACGTAAAATGTGAGTGATTAATCAATACTGATATAAAAAATTTTTTTAAATAAAATTAAGAATATAAGAGCTTATGAGAGTGTAAGCGCGGTATTTTTTACGCAATAATTTCTTTTATACAAGTGACATCTGAGTTTATTTAAAAAATTGTGTATACGTTTTCGCTCCATTTCAAACCATCTTTAGTACAACTGATTTTTTACTGATTAGTACAACTAATTTTTTTCTAATTTTTCTTTCAAAGATTATATAAGATTAAGATATTATAATTTCCTCCGGTAGAGCTCCTCATAGTCAATCATATTGTCACGTTGTCACTTGGTTGGAAGATCAGATGACAACGAACTGTTGGTCATAGTTCTACTAAAGAAAGCATTTTGTTAGCTAATATTAACTATATTTATATTTAGACAGGAAAAACGCAAGAGCAATTTGAATCAAGCAAGAAAATACACAAGTCATATTATAAAAATCTATAATAAAAATTAAACGTCTAGATCGTTCGCAAGTCAAACGATAAACCTGATTGTTAGTGACTACATAACAAAATCGGAAGATTATGTTACAGTCAAACTTTTATCCTCAAATATTTTCATATTTATAATAATAAAAAAATTATTTAATACATTATAATTATTTATAACAATATAAAAAGATTAATATTAAAAGATTTATTATTCAAGTTTATTATTAATCGTATTAAAGGTGGTTCGAAATGAAACTGAAACATATATATATATATATATATATATATATATATATACT